CTCCTCCTCCTCCTCCTCCTCCTCCTCCTTTACCTCCTCCTCCTCCTCCCCCTCGGAAGGCTGTCCGTCGCGGGTCCTCCGCGATGCGCGGCGGTCTGGGAGGCAGTCCACAGACAATCCGTCCACATGCCTCTATCCCGGGGCGCCATCTGGAAGGATTTCGAGGGGAACTCATCCGCACACCAGCTGCCTCCTCTAGGAGCAGTCAAAGACACACCAGACTCGAAGGCGACGGCTGCGACAGTGATGCCGACGAAGAAGCAACAGCGCCGTAGGCCACCACCACAATGACGGCGGCGGCGGCGCGACGACGACAAAACAACGACGACGACAATGACGGCGGCGGCGGCGCGACGACGACAAAACAACGACGACGACCCCACTGGCCCTTCCGGCAGGGCGCGGCAGACCCTCGGCCTGTGCTGCGACGCGCTGGAGGAGCAGGTTGCGTTCGGTAGGAAATCACGGGAGCCTGTTGTGTCCTTGCAACACCCGGCTCTAGAGTTGTGGAAGTCGATTAATGGAGAGGAAGCATGCTGCCAAATAATTTCCAGATGTCTGAAACATGTTTCAAGCATGTTTTAAACATGTAAAAAACATGTTTGAAACATGTTTCAAACATGTTTTCACAAATTTTCAACCCATGTGTAATTCAATGATAGGATTGCGGGGTGTCCACTGTCATGGCATCCACAGCTCTGGAGTGCATCCGCGTCGGTTGGCGCCCGGCAGTCGGTGAGGCAGCGCCGGATCGGCGCCGATTTCGCGCCGTGTGGCGTCGATCGGCAACGGCTCGCAAAAGCCAGCGAGATTAGGGGAACAAGAAGTGGCATAAACATAAAAACTCGGAGGTCCGCGCGGATTTCTCGGATCGGCGCTGGGGCCCCCAAAGCGGCGCCTCCGGCGCCGCCCCTGGCGTGCTCCGCGCGCCAGGGGAGAGGGGGCCCCAGCGCCGATCCGAGACATCCGCGCGGACCTCGGAGTTTTTATGTGCATGCCACTTCTTGTTCCCCTAGCTCAGTCCCATCTGCTCTGGCTCAACCGCGGGCTCCATCCGGCCTGAGGAGAGGAGGAAGGAGAGGAGAGGAGAGGAGAGGAGAGGAGAGGAGAGGAGAGGAGAGGAGAGGAGAGGAGAGGAGAGGAGAGGAGAGGAGAGGAGAGGCCCTCGTGAAGGGCTGCCACAGCAGGTGGGGCGCGCGCGCGCCCTCCACGGGGCGCTGCGGGCCCTGCTGCCCGGGGAGCTGCCCGGGCCTCGGCGCGGCGGGCGCCACCCCGCGGGGAGCTGTGCTGGCCCGTCTGGGGCAGGCCTCGCTGCCCGCCGCCGGGCCCCCTCCCGTCGGGGAGCAGCGAAGGTTCAGAGGAGGAGAGGGTACCTATAGTAGGGGTCCTCCTCCTCCTCCTCCTCCTCCTCCTCCTCCTCCTCCTCCTCCTCCTACCCTCGAGGGTCGAGGTATGATACCTCTACCCTCGAGGGTAGGCAAACGAGGCGAGGGCAGAGGTGTGATGCCTCTACCCTCGCCTCGTTTGCCCCTTTTTAGGGGCCTCCTGCGCGGCCCTCGTGGCCACCGCCGGATTCGCCTCGAGATCCTGGTCAGAGCGCACCCCAGGAGAGGCTCGGGGAGCAGCGGCATCGGTACCTTTTGGCTTCCCCCAAGAGACGCAGCCTCCCGTCAGTTGCGGGTAATCGAGTGAGGGTGCGGCGGGGTCGTCGGCAGTCTGCGAGGCTCTGCAGAAGCCCGCCGCGGGCGCCGATGTTTTCCTCGAGTCAATCAATGTCGGCGGGCGCCACTTCTGCCACGCACCCAGGGGCAATGAATGACCGTGCGGCCCCCCTCACTCTTATCAGGAGGGGAAAAAACACACAGACACAAAATTAATCGTCGATCCCCAAGGAAACATAGGAACATATGGGCAGTGGGCGGGAAGACAGAAACCCAGAACATATGGCAAAACATGGGGGAACCCTTTTATTTGTGTGTACACCTTAGGCGATGCTTAAGAAAACCTAATTTTTCGGCCAGACTCTCGATTATTCTTAATGTTTCAATGTAAATCCTAAGATTTGAATGGATTTTGGGGGTTTTTATTCAAGTTCTGAGACTATGAATTTCTTAACCCATGATTTCTAAAGCATTTCGCAGGGTGTATTTAGTTGTGTGTCCTTGGGCCCCATTGACCTTATGCTGCTTCGAGCGATCCCCCCCCGAAGCCTTCGGCACCGGTTCTTCGGCGGTGCGCGGGCCTGCTGGAGCGAGGCGCGCGGGGCCCAGTGGCCTCGGCCAGCTTCGCGGTCGGGCCAGGTCGATGTGTCCTGCAATCTACTCCAGCTGTCGTAACAAGTGGCACGTGTGCCATAGCCCTTGCACAAAAAGGAAGGGGGAGGAGGAGGAGGAGGAGGAGGAGGAGGAGGAGGAGGAGGAGGAGGAGGAGGAGCGAGGAGGAGGAGCGAGGAGGAGGAGGAGGAGGAGGAGGAGCGAGGAGGAGGAGCGAGGAGGAGGAGCGAGGAGGAGGAGGAGGAGGAGGTCTACTCCAGATGTCGTAATAAATGGGAGGGGGTCTGGACCCTCCAAGACCGACCATTTCAGACCCCCCCCCCGTGGGAGAACCCTCCAAAACATCGTCCCCAAACCCCCCCAGGCCCTCCAAGACAGCCTGGAAGAGACCCCCCCCCCGAAATGAGACCCCCCTCCCTCTATTACGAAATCTGGAGTAGCGGCCCAGGTTGACGTGACAGGAAAGATTCAGGAGGGGAGGAAGCACACAGACACAATGAATCGTCGACTCCCAGGAAAATATGAGAACATGTGGGGAGTGGGGGGGAAGACGAAAAACAAGACGATATGGGCACATATGGGGAGTCCTGTTACTTGTGTGTATGTATTTGTGTGTCCCAGGGCCCCTTCAAAGATCCTGGGGAAAGAAGGTTTAATGTATGGATGTTGTCAGGGCCATATGTTCTCCCCTCCGCGTGACTTCGCGACGCCGGTCGTATTTGGTTCGTCGTCTAGTCAGTTGTTGCTGCGCCTGTGTGGTCTTGTGTCCAGCTTGACGACGGCGCGCACCTCGCGCTTGATCAGAAACCCTTGCATGAGATAATGCCGTCAGTCCGTCGCCGTTGTAATGTTTGAACGATGTTCTGTTCGGTTCGAGCCTGCCCCACTCTGTCGTGCCATGCTCTTGTTCTGTTACGTTGAGTTCTCGACGGGCCGTCGTAACGTCGCGACGCTTGTCGCGTTTGATACGTGGCCTGATCGGTCGTTGCGGCGCCTGTGTTTTCCCTGTGGCCAACCTCATTTCGGCCCGCATGTCGTGTGTTACAGGACGCAGGTAATCAATCGCTGTTGTATTCCGGTGCATTACGTTACATCCAGTATGTTAGATTCTGTTATATTCAAACATTGTTATGTTATGCTATGGTTGTTATGCTATGCCCTTGACGGGAGGGCGTGCCGTCGTGGCACATGCCACGTTTGATACGTCAGCGAACCCGTATAGTTGTTGCGCCTTTTTATTATTGCGGCCAGCTCAACGTCGGCACGCATACTGCGTTGGATACGACGCCGCGAATCGGTCGCTGCTGCTTACCTTTTCACATGCGAGAGCAGATTCGATTAAGTATGTTCGAGTTCAGTATAAGGTACAGTTGTAATGAATGTGTTGCTCTTTTAGAATACAGAATACATCATCGTCAAGGGTATGTGTATAGTTTGCTATTTGCTATGTGGTTCGGCTTGTTGCAAGGTGTTCTACGATACTTTAGTACGACATGATTTGTCATGCTATCGTTTCTTGTTGGGTTATACGATATGGCAACGGTTATCTCCATATTCATGTGAAGCGTTCCAGACAGGGCCTTGCCTTCGAGCATCGAAGGAATTATCATCTCTTTCGCGGCGGAAGGTCGGCGGTAGTAAAAGAGGCCGCCTCGACCAGCCGCAGCTGGCGGACGGATTGCGGGAGGGCGGCGGAAGTAAAAGATGCGCTCCCAAGAAATGAACACGTTTTTGTGTTCAGGGTTTCCGAATTCGCCCATGCATATGTAGTGTTAAGTTCTGTTCTAGGCGGGGGGCGGGATATGCGGGACACTGGGTGGACCTGGGACTTGGCGGCCGTGGGGCATGCTTCGAAACCTAACAACCCCAATTTGCCTGATGAGGAAGCATAACAGGAGGTTTATCGCTGTTCTCGGCCTCCAGGGGTCAAAAAATTATTCACTGCGTGGGGATCCCCATCTGTGCATCTCCTTGCTGGCGCTCCCTTGGTGGTGGGACTCGGTGAGGACGAATCTGGATTTAAGTGTGACTGAGCTGCCTCTCTCTCTGCTCTCTCTGCTCTCTCTGCTCTCTCTGTCTCTCCCTCTCTCTCTCTGCCCTCTCTCTGTCTCTGCCTCTCTTTCCCTGCCTCTCTCTCTCTCTCTCTCTGCCTCTCTCTCTGCCTCTGTCTCTCTGCCTCTCTCTCTCTCTCTGCCTCTCTCTCTGTGCCTCTCTCTCTCTGCCTCTATCTCTGCCTCTCTCTCTCTCTCTCTCTCTCTCTCTCTCTCTCTCTTCTCTCTATTCTCTCTCTGCTCTCTCCTCTCTCTCTCACTCTCCCTCTCTCTCTCTCTCGCTCTCTCTCTTCTCTTCTCTTCTCTTCTCTTCTCTTCTCTTCTCTCTCTCTCTATCTCTCTCTCTCTCTTTCTCTCTCTCTATCTCTCTCTCTCTCTCTCTTCTCTCTCTCTCTCTCTTTCGCTCTCTCGCTCTCTCTTGCTCTCTCTCGCTCTCTGTCGCTCTCTCTCGCTCTCTCTCTCTCTCTCTCGCTCTCACTCGCTCTCTCTCGCTCTCTCTCGCTCTCCCTCGCTCTCTCCCGCTCTCTCTCTCTCTCTGCTCTCTCTCTCTCTCTCTCGCTCTCTCCCGCTCTCTCTCTCTCTCTCTCTCTCTCTCTCTCTCTCTCTCTCTTCTCTCTCTCTCTCTCTCTCTGTCTCTCTCTCTCTCTCTCTCTAGTCTCGGCTGCTCTCTCTCTCTCTCTCTCTCTTCTCGCTCTCTCTCTCTCTCTCTCTCTCTCTCTCTCTCTCTCTCTCTCTCTCTCTCTCTCTCTCTCTCTCTCTTCTCTCTCTCTCTCTTCTCTCTCTCTCTCTCTCTCTCTCTTCTCTCTCTTCTCTCGCCTGTCTCCTCTCTCAACTCCCCCTCTCTCTCTCTCCGCTCTCTCTCTCTCTCTCTCTCTCTCCTCTCCCTCTCTCTCGCTTCCTCTCTCTCTCTCTCTCTTGCTCTCTCTCTCTCTCTCTCTCTCTCTGTCTCTCGTCACGGGCTCGTGAGATCAGCCAGGGTGGCTCCCCCTTGGGGCTCCCAAATGATGCCCCTGGCAGCGTTTTGTGACCATGAGGCTCTCAAGAGATACATGTTGGGGAGGCCAAACGGCAATTCTAGCTGAGGCGTCCCACCAAAATCGGCGCGAACGGGCTCGTGAGATCAGCCAGGGTGGCTCCCCCTTGGGGCTCCCAAATGATGCCCCTGGCAGCGTTTTGTGACCATGAGGCTCTCAAGAGATACATGTTGGGGAGGCCAAACGGCAATTCTAGCTGAGGCGTCCCACCAAAATCGGCGCGAACGGGCTCGTGAGATCAGCCAGGGTGGCTCCCCCTTGGGGCTCCCAAATGATGCCCCTGGCAGCGTTTTGCGACCATGAGGCTCTCAAGAGATACATGTTGGGGGCGCCAAACGGCAATTCTAGCTGAGACGTCCCACCAAAATCGGCGCGAACGGGCTCGTGAGATCAGCCAGGGTGGCTCCCCCTTGGGGCTCCCAAATGATGCCCCTGGCAGCGTTTTGTGACCATGAGGCTCTCAAGAGATACATGTTGGGGGCGCCAAACGGCGCGAACGGGCTCGTGAGATCAGCCAGGGTGGCTCCCCCTTGGGGCTCCCAAATGATGCCCCTGGCAGCGTTTTGTGACCATGAGGCTCTCAAGAGATACATGTTGGGGGCGCCAAACGGCAATTCTAGCTGAGACGTCCCACCAAAATCGGCGCGAACGGGCTCGTGAGATCAGCCAGGGTGGCTCCCCCTTGGGGCTCCCAAATGATGCCCCTGGCAGCGTTTTGTGATCATGAGAGAGTGTGAGCTTGAACTTAACTTATCTTATCTGATCTTGAAATCTCTTCTTATCATATCTTGTGCTATCTTATCTTATCTTGTAGTATCTTATCTTGTCTTGTCTTATCTGGTGATTATCATTGGGAGGAGGGAGGCGCGAGCGGGAGGAAAAAGGAGGAGGAGGAGGAGTGGGAGGCGTCAGAGTAATAACAAGAACCCCATTCCTTAGGATATGGGGAACAATCCTTCATGAAACACTGGTCTTTCAGATGGAGTGCAGATTTTCGGCGGTAAGCGTAATGGACAAATCACGACGTCGGGGTCTGCGTCTCGCCAACCGGGTTGCCCGTTTGTGGCGAGGAGTGCCCGCTCAGCGGCGGTCGTTGTGTCTGTTTGGGGCAGCTTGCTCTTTTCAGGCGTGGCCCCCACCTTTATCGTATCCATATTGCTCGACATCCATGTGCATTGCTTCCGAGGGCCCTGAACTAGGTTTAAATCGGGCCTGTCCCCCTACTGGGGACGTTTTTTTTGTTCTCTTCAATGTTTGAGTATTTCAGTGCACTTGTTTGACTATTTCCATTTTTCGTCTAAAATCCCCCTGTAGGGGGACAGGCCCGACTTAAAACTGGGTTCCCAAGGTGATGGGTACTCATGGAGACTGCCCTCGCACGCTCGCCCCCATGCCGCTCGGTTCCGCCCTCCTGCCGCATTTGTATTTGCGTGTGTTGCCCGTCGCCAGGCCCGCTGGGCCGTCGAGGCCCTCGACGCCGACGGACGAGCCGATCGGTCGAGGGAGGTGCCGATCGGTCGAAGGATCACCCCGAAGTGGCCGGTCGATCGAGGAAGGAGCCGATCGAGGGCCGCACGGTGCTGCCGTCCGTCGCCTCCGCACGACTATGCATCTGCAGTCCTCTTTCCCCTTCGTGCGATTTTTGAATGCGTGCGAGGCGGGGAGGGTCCGAGTGACACAGCCGGGATTCCGCCACTGGCCTCCCCGTTGGTCGTCGCTGTCTGCAGCCGTGTCGGAAGGAGGCCCCGCCCGGCTCGGCTCTGCCGAAGGAGGTCCTGCTAGGGGGCCCGGCACGTTGCCTTACACAGGCGCATCCAACCAACCATCATCGAGGATAAATGAACCTCGAACCAGACGAGCCTAGTGAAGACCTGGCCTCAATTAGGTTTCCGTCTTTGCATTAGGGACAATATATTTGGGTGGTCTGGCTTGGTACATCCGCAGAACAGACCCCATAGCCCTACTGTTTTTGGCCCTCCTAGCTTAGGTCCCCTCCCAAAGGATTAGGGGTCCTTTTTGTCCCTCATCACCCCCCGCTGGCGCGTCTTGGGTTTCTGCGTGTTCTCCTCCTCCTTCTCCTCCTCCTCGTCCTCCTCCTCGTCCTCATCATCCTCGTCCTGCTCCCTCTCCACCAGCTTCTCCTCATCCCGCTCCTCGTCCCGATCCTCTCTGCCCCCCCCCCCCCCCCCCTCCGCCCGTGGCCATCTTGGCTCCAGGCCCGCGCGGCGCCCTCCGAGGCGCCGCGGGGCCCTCCTCGGGCGGAGGCCCCGCGCGAGGCGACGGCTTTTCTCGACGCCCCCGGGGGGGGCGGGCCGCCCGGGAGCACTCTGCTCGAGGCCGCTCGCGGCCAGACTTGTGGGGACGTCTCAGGCGGTCGGCGCGCTGCGGTGCCCACGATTCCTTCGTCTTTGCAGTGCAGTGCCGTTTTTTTATGCATGCTCCGCGTGCGGAACAAGTATCAAGAATACAGGGATATATGAGTAGAAACAACGATGAGCTCATGCATACATTTATCCATCACTTCATCATGTATTCAAAATCGTATATGTTTAAAATCCTACGTAGCACCCCGCAATTGCGGATAAGAGTGAGGGGGCGGGCGCGGGCGACGCGGGCGTCGTCAAGCCGGCGGACCTCGTGGCCCCCACCTTCCCTGTCGATGGCGCTCTCCTCCTCCTCCTCCGCCTCCTCCTCCTCCTCCTCCTCCGCCTCCTCCTCCTCCTCCTCCTCTTCCTCGTCCTCGTCCTCGTCCTCATCGTCATCGTCGTCCTCCTCCTCCACCTCGTCCTCCTCCTCCTTCTCTTCTTCCGAGGCGTGGGCTCCTCCTCCTCTTCTTCCTCGTCCTCCCTCTCCCCCCCTCGTCCTTCCATCATCGTCCTCCCATGGTCGTCATGTTCCTCCTCGTCGTCCTCCTCCTCTTCCCCCACTCCCGATTCTCCCCCCTCCTCCTTTTCGTCGTCGTCGACGTCGTCGTCGTCGTTCCCTTCCTCCTCCTCCTCCTCCTCCTCCTCCTCCTCCTCCTCCTCCTCCTCCTCGTCCTCGTCCTCCTGCAAAAGCAGCCCGCCGCAGGCGCCGACGAATTTGGTTTGTACCCTGAACGTGGTTTGGGTCGCGGGTGGGCCGCGGGTTCTCCACTGGGAACGAATGCAAAAGATGCCGGCCGCAGGCGCCGAACAAATTTGTTTGTACCCTGAACGTGGTCGCGGGTGGGCCGCGGTCTCTCCACCTAGAACGTGGTGCTGGTGTATGTTCTTTGGGCCCCCATACTTCCTTCGTGGACCAACGGCGCAGCATCCATGCATACGCAACTTCTGGAGGCCCGCGCGGAGCGGCCGGGTCGGCGCCGGGCCCGCCCGCCCCTGGCTCACGGGGCGCTGCTGGGGGGGTTCAGCGCCGATCAGGAGGAGAAAACACACACACAGACACAATTCATCGTCGATTCCCCAGGAAATATTGGAAAATATGGGAAGTGGGGGGGGGAAGACAAAACCCACAAAATATAGGAAAATATGGGGAATCCTGTCACCTGTGTGCATTTCTTCGTGTGTCCCAGGGCCCCTTCAGCTGACCCAAGAAAATCCGCGCGGGCCTCCGATGCTTACTGCTCATGCCCTTTTTGCTCCGTCCATCATGAACAACTCCTCAGGACGTGCGTCAGCGCAGCGCGCGTTTTCCCCGTTTTTTCTCCACCGACAGCGCGCAGTCGTGCCAGCCCCTGCTGCACAGCCTTCGCTGTCTCGAAGAGTGTCGGTGCGCCAGCACGCGTTGGCGCTGACACACCCTCCGAGGACGATCGACCCATCCAGCTGGCCTCGACGCTGGCCCAGATGGGCTCAGTCGGGCCGTGGCAAATTGCCAGCGGCGCTCGTCGCGCGCGCGACGTGGTCCGTGCGTCAGGCAGGCCTAGGATGAAGATCAGACTCTCCAAACCAGTCCAGAAGGCTCTCCGAGCGCTCTTCCCTTAGGGCTTGTCGACTTTTCGCCAATCGACTTGTGAGAATCGAGCCAGATAAACCCAGGGAAATGCAGATAAATCGAGGTAAATCCAGGTAAATCTAGATAAATCTTGGTAAATCCAGGTAAATCCAGAGATCTCCAGGGAAAGTTCGAGCACTTCGCGGCCGCTCCAGCGCGAGTCGAAGGACGGCAGAAGTCGTTAAGCCTTTAACGAGCTCTGGCAGAGGCGCCCGGTACATCCTCCAGAGCCACGAGCTCTCAGAGATCACCGATTTGGCTTCGTCTCCTGTCCGACGACTGCCCCCCACCCCCCCAGGACGAGCCGCAGTTCGGCACCCTGGAGGGCGCCTTCGCGGTGCCGGCGCTGCTGGAGGCTCGAGCCCTGGGCAAGACTCGGGATCCCGCAAAGGGATTGTGTGCCCCAGTGTGTGTGTGTGTGTGTGTGTGTGTGTGAGAGATAGGGCGACGAGATCTGTGCATATCCACTGCTCCTGGCCAGGCCAATCCTGGGCTCAGGAGCGGTGTATACGCCCTCCTGGCCTGGCCAGGGAGGCATAGACACAGCTCCTGGGCCCAGGATGGGCCTGGCCAGGAGCAGTGGATATGTATAGATCTCGTCGCCCTAGAAAGAGAGAGAGAGAGAGAGAGTTCGATTGGTTTTTGCACCGAACTGGCCCAAACAGACGCCCCCCAGCCGCTGGCAGCGCCCGACAGTCGCCGAAGGGAGGGGCATGCGGGGGGCATCTGCCTGCGGCAGTCTGGTGCACCAGCGGGTCGGACTCGTGCCCCCCCTCCTGGTCCCCCCCCCCCTTTGACGGATCCCGGAAGACGTCGGTCAGGAGGGGAAAAAACACACAGACACAATTAATCGTCGATTCCAAGGAAAATATGGGAAAATATGGGAAGTGGTGCGAAGACAAAAACCCAGAAAATATGGGAAAATATGCGGAATCCTTTTATGTGTGTGTATTTATTAGTGTCCCAGGGCCCCTTCAGTCGGATCCGAAGGATCTGCCTTCACAGATCCTGCATTCTGGGGTCGGCAGCGCCCAGGCACGCCGTGTGAGCGTGCCGCGGCATTGCATTCCGGAGGCGACGCGCGCTCAGAGGCATCTTGCACTGAGTGCTCGGCGGCGGGCGCTTCCTGGCCGTTCCGCCTGTGTAACGATATATGTACATATCTATATATGTATTATATTCACCTTATTATATGTGGGTTTGTATATATATATATATACACATAGGTTTTCATTTCATGTGCATACCAGTTCAATATCATACTATGGATGTAGAGATAATCTAGGAGGTTGGCACTGCGCGTTCGGTTCGGACGTGCGCCTCCGAGGGAGCGCATACCACTAGTATGTCCTTCTGCGTCCCGTGGGGTGCCACTCGGTCATACATCGGGGCTGCCATGCCTCAACACCCACCAAACCACTCCAACCCAACCCGAAGGCCTCAATTTGCCCTCCATTTCCCGTTGGGGGGCGTCGGGGAACATTGAAAAAACACATAAGGAACCCGTACCCCCCCCAACCCGAAATTGGGGTCTTCGGGTTGGGTTGGGGTGGTCTGGTAGGTAGTCAATGCCGAACAGCTTGTTTGGGATGGGCAGCGCTTCCCAGGATCCAGAACGGCCGACCTCTGCGTTGCAGCTTCGGGGTGCGCACGCCATCTGCCCTGCAAGGGGCGATCCTTTCCTGGTGTCCGACACGTGTCGATGCGGATTCGACGTCAATTGGACGCGGATTTGTGTGGATTCATAGATTTCGAGACGGGCTCGAAGCGGCTGAGTTGCGATGGGATAGACGAGCCCCCCCGAAGACGCAACATGGCGACCCCTCGAATCGGATCTCGTTGGGGACTCATCGGGTACGCTGGAGAGGATGGTCAGGAAGAGGTGGGTTAGACCATCATTGCCCGAGGCATGTGCGCGGATGAGGGCGGGCCAGGAAACGAATTCAAAGAAGGAGATTCGTAATGATGAGAAGAAGATTAATAATAAGGAAAAAGTGCAAATAATCAGAATAATAATAATAATAATAATAATAAGAAGAAGAAGAAGAAGAAGAAGAAGAAGAAGAAGAAGAACAATGGGCCGTGAACTCTGGGAGATTGCATGGCCCCCGCCGAATTATTCGCCCACCCTGGTCTTGACCCCCTCTTCGACGCCTGATGGCTTTCGGGGCATAGCACTCGGTCCACAGGGGGCCGTTTGGGACGATCTGGGCATCCCCAGAGAGCATCCCGGTGCGGGAGAAACTTGAAGCCATTCCCAACGCTCCCGTCGCCTGTTTTTGCCGCGCCGCCATCACCCTCCAGCTGAGGGTTGGCAGCGCCACGTATCACAACAACATTGACAGTTATACACTTTGCAGCTGTTTGTTCTCAGTATAGAAGGTTCTCGCGCGCGCGCGGCCGGCGTCCCTCCCGTCGGCCAGCTATATCATTCACTTTTACTGTGGTACACTTGCTTACCAGATTAGTTAGCCATGTCCTCGCGTTCCACACCATCGACGCAATTTCCTGGTACGTATGAAGAAGAAGAGCCTCATAAACCATTGCTTAGGAATTACATTCGTGCTGATATGGGAATTATTTGGCCAAATGTGGGTTATCAACCGAAGTGCTCACCGCGAGGTCTCGCGACTGTGTTGCAAGCCTCGGGGATATAGGGAACAATCATATACGGAACGATGACGGACCCGAACATGATCTTCATTGATGGACAGGCTACCAGGCCCGTACCTAGCGTACAAAGGCATGTATAAGGACATGGTGAACTGCACCTGGGTAAGATGACTCTCGCGGCGCGGCGGCGTCGAGTGACCTCTGTCGCTGTCGCGGCCGCGAGGCCTCCGGATGAGCTCAGCGAGCCAGATTCCGCAAGCCGCGCGGGCTCAACCTCGAGCCACGGCGCGGGCCGTCCAGATGCCCCGCGGGATGGCCATTTTGCGGAAGAGGCTGAGATGGAGTGGCATGGGAGTCGGGTGATTCCGCGGTCCTCCTTGCCGGCGTCGGTCAACCAGGCCAACGTCACGAACTCCCAGTCATCCGATGTCGTTGTCTTCGTGTCGTGCGAGGCCGATTCTGATATCAGTAGGCGAGCCCTGCATTGACCGCGGCTGCAGCTTTTGCTGGAAAGCAGGCGGAGTTCCAGATCTACTACTGCTTGGTGGAATTAGGCAGGATTTCACCGTGGACGGGAATGTCCCCTACCTCACCATGGAAGGCAGATGGAAGGCAGAGGGGCTTCGGGTCGGGTAGACGGGGCAGCTTCCGCCATCCCGAGAGGGTTCGGGCAGTGGGCCTGCGTGGTGACCAACGCGAAGTCTTTCCTCGTCAAGCCTGAGGAAGTGGAGGTCCACCATTCCAGGCGGTGTGGTGCCGCGCGACTCTCGAGCTGCACTCATGCACGTCGTGCTGGAGGACTCCCGCGTCAGTGCTGACGGCAGCTGTGCCCACGATGCATCAACATTGCGTGGGCATCGCGCGATCACGTATTTCCACTGCGAGCCTTGATAAGCTGCGAGCTTGGGCTGGACTTGGAGCAGGTAAGGGTCTGTTGATATTGTCGACGACGACAGGCCCGACGAGCCGGACGAGCAGGATCTGCCTGGGGACGCCGCGAAGTTTGAACGCCTCAAGCGTGAGGCTCTCTCCTGGCATCGCTTGCTGGCGCATTTGCCCATGAACCCGTGTTGCCCCGCGTGTGTCAGTGGGCAAAGGCGTTGCAGGCGCAGCAGGCGAAAATGACAAACAAGGCATTCCAACAATTTAGGTCGTGCGCCGAGCCAACGAAGTTCGGGGGTCTGTGCGCCATGGGCCGCTGGTTTGCGGTTTGCGGCCGATGAGACGTCGATCGGGCTCGATGGGGGAACATCGTGCGTGACATTGCACGCCCAGTTCATTTTTTTCTTGGCTGGCCAGGGCGTTCGTGACAAGCTTGCGGAGCATGTGGTCGACCTTTTGTTTTGGTCAATCTCCGCGCACCTGCTGAGATCATTGCGTGCGTGTGTAGAGATGCAGCGCCTGGGCTCGAGCGGGCGTGCCAGTCCCTGCGCGTCGACTGAACGAGTCAGTGACTGCCTGGGACTCCACTCAACCAGCCAACGAGACATAATTCAGTGGCAGGGGGGGCGATCGGCATCATCCAGGACTGTGCGTGGGCGCTCATGGTGACGGCTGGACTGCCGACCTCCAACTGGATCTACGCCGTGCCGTATTTCTGCCTCTGTCACAACGCGCATCAGGGAGGCGCAGACGAATCGCCTTGGAAGTGGAGGTTCGATGAACGTTTCGCGTCTCGTCTTGTTCCTTTTGGGTCTAAACTGCGATGCGCGCCGTCGCCCGAATCGCGGGTCGAACAGCTCGAGATTGGCCTTGTCGTAAGGATTGGCCCTTACTTGGGCTATATGCGTCATGCGGTGGGGCGGGTTTGACCCGATCATTGCTGTTTGCCGTTGGGGCATCTCGACGGGATCATCTTCGAGACCGGCGTGGATGCAGCAGGGTATGGGCTGACGTTGGGCTGCGCAGGAGGACCTGCTAGGTATGCAAGACTGACGACCTTCAGGGGCGATTGTTGTTTATCCCGTGCGCAGGGTGTGCGACTTGGCGTCAATTGCCGTGCCTTCCATCGATCTGGGTGATCTTCTCTTGGGTGATTGTCTCACAGGCAGCGAACCGCCTCCCCCCGGGGCTGGCGGCGCGTCGTCCTGGGGGCGTCTGCGTCGTCGAGCGGCGAGCCGGGCGTGGCGACGCAGACAAAAGAACCGCCGTTTCGCGCCCGCGATGCAGGGGCAGGAGAGGGGGCGAGGGCGGAGGCAGACGGGGGCCCGATTGAGGCTGAAGACCCTTCAGGTTCTCCTTCGGCTCCTCCACCGCCTGCGAGTGCCGGGCGCCGAGCTATCGGATCCAAAGACAGATCCAAAGAGTGCTGCGGGTGGTTAGATGGCTGATGAGGTCGTCATCGCGAGACATGTCTTAGCTGCCCCCGAAAGGGGGGGCCCAGATTTGACCGCTCTCAGAAGCCGCCGACGGTGGAGTACTACGAGCGCGAGGTGGTCTCTGGGGGAGAGACCCGTGAAGTGCAGGGTCAGCCGCTGCATCTAACCCGCAGGGCGAGGCATGCACCGAACACGAGTCGTCCTTTACTGCGTCCAGCGGTGTGTGTGACCACGAATGCTGGCGAGATTTGCGGCCCCTAAATGGGTCAGCTCGGCTCGAGAGGCCACGGGGGGACTCGGCGAACCGGGGCATCCATCCAGAGCGGCTGTGACAGATGGGCGGGCCGGCTAGACGCCGGGCTATCGAGGAGTTTATGGCGGAGGGCGCAGGATTATTCGGCCTGGAGGACCGTGGCCCGAACATTACCCTCCGTGAAGAAATCGGTATTGAAATTCCTCGGCCGCCGACTCAATGCGTCATGTCTGCGGCAGCTGAGTACTTCGCGGTGTCGCTGTCACTCGTGTTGTCAGTGACTCTGTCACTGATGCCGGGGGGATGTTTCCGCCGTTGAGTGACTGTCACTCGCGGCGTTTGTCAGGGGGAATTCTGCGCCTGGGACCTGGGGAGCGAGACGGGCGCCGGGAATGATGGGTGCGGTGCCGTCGCGGCTGCGGACTCAGGCCGCCCCCCAACATTTCCGATGATTCTAAAGAGAACGAGCGCGAGGAAAGCCCCACCAGCGACGACTTGAGTGAAAAATCGAGCGCGGATCTCAGCGGTGACGAGCAGAAGTCAGATAGGCCGCGGGCGTCTTGTGGCGGTGTCACGGGCGCCCCCGCGCCTGAACCCGCGAAGGCTCCTGGGAGTGGCCCGCTGGGCGCGGGGATGCAGCTCCTAGAGCCGAAAGCCAAGCGTCTGCGGGGGGCGGCAATGAGGAAGAGACCGCCCCTCAGTCAAATCCAGCAGCCAAGGTCAAGGGACCAGAGATCGCCCCCTCGTAGTCGGGCGTGGGTGGGGGCGTGGGCGAGGATTGGCGAGAGAACGCGGCCTGGGGCGCCGATGTCGCCGGGCAGGGGCCCCTGTATATGGAAGTGGATGCGTCGAAGAAGGAGTGGGATTAATAAAGGACCGAAGGCGATGAGACCGACGGTGTCGACAGGCTTCAGGAAGAACAGGAAAATGAAGATGCCGAGGGCAACGCCGATGGCGACTACTACATTCCCCCAGCCCAGATCCAGCTCGACTCCATCCAGAAGCGCATCCCATGTGACGCACCTCCGTTGTACTTCGGACTCGGGGTGCCGCGGCGACCTTCCACTGTCGCGCAGCTTCTGCTGGGCAAGGTTTTATCAATGGTGGGCGACCGAGCAGAGACTTTGAACATGCCGAAGTGCATGTGGTCGGTGAATTGCCAGACGAGGATGAGGACATCAACGCGCTCCTGAAGCGGATGGGCGTGTAGCTCGCCCGCTGGCAGGACATCGCGCGCGGCTCCGGCCCCGTCTCGCGCTCGGCCAGCGCGCTCCGTGGGCGCGCCGGCGGGGCATGTCCGGCTACGGCGGGGACTTCATCCGAGACGCGCTTCTCGAGATCTTCAGGAGGCCCACGTGGGACGAGGGGTCTGGCCGACTTCTGCCTGCTTCATCGGCGCCGCGCGGCCGAGCCGGAGAATCTCCCCAGGGGCGCTCGTCGAATCGCCCCCGTCTTCCCCGAGATGGAGTGCGCTCCATTCGAGGTGTTCAACGGGGTGACCGCGCTGGAGGCTTCAAAGTAGGCGGCTTTGTCGTGGGTCTCCTATGGCGCAACTCGTCGCGCGTTGCCATCTCCGGCGGTTGTTTCGGTGTCGACGCGTTGGTCATTGAGATCCATTGGATTCGACCGGGCCTGGGCTCAGTTTATGCGTGCGATGGCCACGCTGCCCAAGAAGACCGCGAAGTTTCTGGGCGTCGAGATGAGTGGCGACGAGGGTGGTCCTGCGTCTAAACCAAAGAGGTGGGGCGACACGTGCGATCGTGGGCGCGCAGGTGGCAGCCATGTTGCCGGAGTGGTCGAGGACGCGCCGCCTGCGATGAGGCCGCCCCATGTCACGGCCTGCAACCGACGAGGCAATGCATTCGGTGCGAAGCGAGCTGCAACAGTATGCTCGCTTCGTTCGTGATGCACTGATCGATGGGCAGTCCTTCATTCAGGCGATGTGGGGTGCCTTCGTTCTCCCCTGGCACGGCCTGGAGGGTGGCCCGCTGTGCCGGTGCTTCAACTTCTTTGCCGCTGGGCGCGCCGAGTGCCCGCTTGACGACCACCGCGTGGACGGAGCCGACGAGGTCAGTGACGGCGTGGGCGAAGAGGTGGTCCTGGCGCGCAGGCACGACGATGGCGTTTTCATCGAGGACTTCCGGGGCCTCCCCCAGTGGTTGCGCCCGAACAGATGGGTTTGAGACGTCCCCGGAGGCCACTTGGACCCAGAGGTGTTCGACAGAGCAGGCCCGATCAAGCTCAATTGGTGGATCGTGGTTGCCTTCGCGGCCCGTGTCTTTGAGGGCCGCGGTTTTTGAGTGATGCGCGACGGGGCAAGCTGCGTTGGCCTGCGTCAACTACATCAAGTGTAACCAGAAGTTGGGGAACATCAGGGAAGACGCCGAGGGCGGGATATCCTCGGCGGAGCTCGCGAACAAGATGACCAGTCTCGCGCCGTGGACCGACGACGGCTACTTGGCATTCAGTACAGTTTGCCGAAACATATTCGGTTTCATATGATGTCTCTACTGCCGTCAGCCGATTGCCAATGGTAGCAAAGCGGCCCCGCCGTGCTCCGTCGGGGTGCTGCAGGATTGGGGGGGCCTTGGTCAGAGAATAGAAGACACCAACCAAGGGTCTGACGACTATGTCGTTCAGCTGGTAGCGCGCGGGCCCAGCAGTGATGGTCAGCGCGCAGATGCCACCGTGACGATGGCGACCGAGACATGACAACAATATGCCCGATATGGTGCGATGCTCGGGCGGAATTTGGCACTGGAAGACAAGTCCGCGTCCCAGACCAGTGCCGTGACGCACTTGGCCTGGGCGCCCGCATTCGCCGGCGATCTGTGCCCATCCCACCGCGATCTGGCCGCGCTGGCTTTGGCGAAGAAGCTGGCGTTGAGGTGGTTCTAGTATCGGGCGCACCTGGGCGATTGGCCTTCACGTCAAAGTCCGACGGTGCCAGTGGCAACCTGTTGGCCGTGCGTCAGCCGCGGGGTCCAGATCGATGGCCGGCAGTGTGGATTCGCCACCTAAGATGGCAAGGCCATAAAATTTTGTTGTGCTGGCGGTGCCTTTTTTCCAGCGTGGAGCGGCCGACTCGAGCTCTCCTCAGGCCGTGCCTCCGAGAGAGCGCGGCCTCGGGCTTGAGGTGGCAGCTTGCGCGGATTAAGGAGAGTAAGTGCCCGTCTGGCAAGGCAGGGCTGAAGGGCCTGTCCTTGAACCCCCCCGAGGGAGTGCCGCTCGCTGTCCTTGTGAGGCTGGCCTCTTTTTTGGCCCTGTAGATCCTGCCCCTGGCGCCTCGGCTCTGGACTTTTTGGGGGGGGGGGGGCTCGGGGGGCGAGTGCCTTTGGGGGGAGGGGGGGGGGGGAGGGGGGGGGGGGGGGGGGCGACGTCCCGAGCCGAGGTGCTGAGGGCCTTCGGCCTCCTGGAGGGGACCCTGCCAGCCATCCGCGCTGATGGGCCCCGCCGTCTTTGCAAGGAGGCCGAGGAGGGGCCCGAAGAGCCCCTGGACGGGGTTTTCGAGGAAGTCTCCCAAGATACGGAGGCCTCCGACGCCGAGCGATAGCTCGACCGCACTGGCTTTAGGCCGCTTGCTCATCTCATCACCTCCTCCTCCTCCTCCCTCCCTCCTCCTCCTCCTCCTCCTCCTCCTCCCTCCCTCCCTCCCTCCCTCCCCCCTCCCTCCCCCCCCTCCCCTCCCCTCCCCCCTCCCCTCCCCTCACCCTCCCCTCCCCCCCTCCCCTCCCCGCCCCTCCCCTCCCCTCCCCTCCCCTCCCCATCCCCTCCCCTCCCCCTCCCCTCACCCTCCCCTCCTCCTCCCTCCCTCCCTCCCTCCCTCCCTCCCTCCCTCCCTCCTCCTCCCTCCTCCTCCCTCCTCCTCCTCCTCCTCCTCCGTCCTCGTCCTCCTCCTCCTCCTCCTCCTCCTCCCTCACCTCCTCCTCCTCCTCCTCCTCCTCCTCCTCTCCTCCTCCTCCTCCCTCCACCTCCCCCCTCCTCCTCCTCTCCTCCCTCCCTCCCTCCCCTCCCCTCCCTCCCTCCCCTCCCTCCCCTCCCCTCCCTCCCTCCCTCCCTCCCCTCCCCTCCCTCCCCCTCCTCCATCCTCTCCCCCTCAGGCCCCCCCAGCCCCGGCAGGCTGTGTGTGCTGCCCCGCCTGCTCCCAGTGGAGCGCGTCACCTCCCGGCATGCCCACTGGCACGGGCTGCCGCTGGCGCTGCAGAACCAGGAGGACCTTGGTGGGAGAAGGAGGAGGAAGGAGGAAGGAGGAGGGAGGAAGGACGGAGGGAGGGAGGGAGGGAGGGAGGAAGAGGAGAAAGAAGAGGAGGAGGGAGGAGGAGGAGGAAAGAGGAGGAGGAAGAGGAGGAGGAGGAGGAGGAGGAGCAGAGGGAGGAGGAGGAGGAGGAGGAGGAGGAGGAGGAGGAGAGGGGAAGGAGGAGGATGAGGAGGATGAGATGAGGATGAGGATGAGGATGAGGATGAGATGATGATGATGATGATGATGATGATGATGATGATGATGATGATGATGATGATGATGATGATGATGATGATGATGATGATGATGATGATGATGATGATGATGATGATGATGATGATGATGATGATGATGATGATGATGATGATGATGATGATGATGATGATGATGATGATGATGATGATGATGATGATGATGATGATGATGATGATGATGAGGAGGAGGAGGAGGAGGAGGAGGAGGAGGAGGAGGAGGAGGATGGTTGAGGGGTAAAGATGTGGATGGATCCAGAAACGAGGGGGGACGAAAGACGGGGTGGTGGTGAGGAATATGAGTACTTTGTTGACTGGTATATTGGGTTATGGTGCAAAGAAGGTGGATGCGTTTGGACCCTCCTTTATATGCACGTCCTCTTTGGCCGAGTGTCCATAAAGGAGTCGTTGGCCCCCTCCACTGCCAATTGACGGCAGAATTGTTGAAGGTTGATTGGGTGGTGTCGGGAACGCAAGCAGTCCCATTGATGGAAGCTGAGAGAGGTGTGAGGCGTATTGACGGTCCTCACCAGCGAGGCCCAATGACGGTCCTCGCCGAGGGGAGGGGGTAGAGGGAGGGGTGGGCGTAGCGATGATGCCGTCCGCGATGCGTCCAGGTCCTGAGGCGCGGCGGAAATTTCTGAAAAGGGGGAACGAAGACACAAAAGCGGTATTCATAGTTTCGATTTCGAACTGAGTAGGCCCTGTGAACTCGGTATCCCACAGAGGCTTTGTCACCCTTGGCAGGAGGCGATACGCGCGCTGATGGACGGTGGCGACGCCAGGGAGGCGCTGTTGAGGAACAGGGACCTCATCTTGCAGCAGCCGAGGTCGTACCCTTCTTCAGACAACCAAGCCAGAGCATGACAACACGTCGATTTTTTTTTTCCGTCGATCTCACATGCATTGCTTAATTCATGGTGGGATGCTTCTGAGCCGAGCTGACCGCTGACGATGCGCATCCTCCCCCCCATCGGTCGGCCCATTCCTCCATCATTCTCTCCACTCTTGCCCTCCTGCTGTCTCCCTCCTTTCTTCTCCCTCCTTCTCCCTCCCTGCCTCCCTTCCCCCCCCCCTCTTCTCTCCTATCTCAAGCACTCCTCCCCCAGCCTCTTCTCCTTTCGTCCCTCCCTCCCTCCCTGCTTCCCTCTCTCCCTCCCTCCCTTCTCCCTCTCTCTCTCTCTCCAGGCAGCGAGCGATTCGTCGCCGACGCCTTCGGCGGAGAGCCAGATGCACTACGTCGGCGGGGGAGAGTGGGCCCGCCCGCCTCCGATCGCTGCGGGAGGCGGGCTGCGCCTTCTCCCCCGCGTGCACAGCACAGTATACGGTAGGTTCGTGTCGTGTCGACCGGCGGCGACCCCGCCAGCGGCGTTCAACTTGGAACGCCGCGGGCGACCCAGAATCGTTCGATGTGGAACGATTTGGACGTTTCGGAAACGGCCGATCGTTCGAGGTTGAACGATCCCCGCGGTGTCAGAAACCAACGCCGAAGTCGGCACGACACGGACCTGCCGTATACGTGTCTCCCCCTCTGGAGCGAATCGGGGTCGTGGGGGTCTTCTGAGAGTGCCGAGGGGGTTCTCGGGCTCCAAGACCAATCGTGGAGCTTCTAGAGGGTGGGCAGCGCCTGGCCCAAAAGACGCCCCGAGGGCGCTCCCTGGCGTTCCCGCTCGCGCGCAGCGCTGTTTGGCGCGCCCCGGAAGCGCTTCCGTGCAAGCCCGCCCGCACGCGGCGCTGTTTGGCGCGCCCCGAGGGCGCTCTCGTGCGTGCCCGCTCGCTCGCGGCGCACGCTGGCACACCCCGAGGGCGCTCTCGTGCGTGCCCGTTCGCACGCGGCAGTCACCGGTGTGCCCTGAGGGCGCTCCCGGGCGTGCCGGCTCGCGCGCGCAGCGCTTCGGCGCGCCCCGAAAGCGTTTCCGTGCGCGCTCGCTCGAATGCGGTGCTTTCTGTCGCGCCCTTGGGCGGTTCCGTGCGTTCCCGCTGCTCGCACGCGGCGCTGTCCGGCGCGTCTCGAGGGCGCTTTTGCGCGCCGCTCGCACGCGGCGCTCTCTGCTGACGTCTTCTCACGCAGCTCCCCCCACCCCGTGTGGTGTCTGCGTGGCGACTGCAGCTGACGTCTTCTCATGCGCCGACCTCCGCGCGAAACATGGGATTGGGGCCGCTCGCCGATTGCGGCGCATTGCATGTATTGTGTTTCAAGACTCAGCCGACGATGCGACGCGCGAGTGCCCCCTGCGCGCTCGAGCGCTAACCAGGACGCCAGCGAAGCTGCACGGCGGTGTCCGCCGACCCTCCTAGCGCGAACAACGCTGCTGCAGCTGACGCCTTTTCATGCAGCCCCCCTTTCCTCACCACCCACCAAACCACCCCAACCAAACCCGAAGGCTCAGATGGACCCTCGATTTCCAGTGGGGGGGGTCGGGAAACATCGAAAAAACACACGTGGAACCCTTACCCCCCCCAACCCGAAATTCGGGTCTTCGGGTTGGGTTGGGGTGGTCTGGTAGGCAGTCACTTCCCGCGTGGCGGCTGCGGAGCGACGTCTTGCATCTGCGGCGAGGCTGCGACGCCACCGCGGGGACGCCCGCGCGCACCTCGCACCGTCGCCCGCCGCGCAGCGAGGCGCCGATTCTGCTCGGCGCCGCGCGCCGCGCGCCGCGCGCACATCGCTTGCCGAGAACGCTTGCTGAAAGGGAGGAGGAGGAGGAGGAGGAGGAGGAGGAGGAGGAGAGAGGAGAACGCTACTACTTCCCTCTCCTCCTCCTCCTCCTCCTCCTCCTCCTCCTCCTCCTCCTCCTCCTCGCCGAGAACGTTTGCCGAGGACGCTGCAGACGCCGCGCGGCGAGGCATCCCGCGTGCGCTCGAGCGCTTGACGGTCGCGCGCGGCATGGGACCGGCGCCGCGCGCCGACCCCGGCGCGACACACTGCGCTCCGACACCGGGCTCCGCATGTTCCGCCGCGGAGGAGGAGGAGGAGGAGGAGGAGGAGGAGGAGGAGGGAGGAGGAGGAGGAGGAGGAGGAGGAGGAGGAGGAGGAGGAGGAGGAGGAGGAGGGGGAGGAGGAGGAGGAGGAGGAGGAGGAGGAGGAGGAGGAGGAGGAGGAGGAGGAGGAGTGGTGGATATGGATGTCTGCCCGCCCGCATGGGCGGCCGGACATCCATATCCGTCGCTCCTCGATTCCTTGGGGTACGAGCCCGCGGCAGTGGATATGGACATGTTCTGGCGGCGCGCACGTGGCGCATGCGTTTTTGCCGGCGCGCGCGAGCGCTATCTGGGCAAGCAGAGGAGCTGCTCGGCGCCCTGCGCCGACTCCAGCGCACACAAAATCGTCGCCGAACCAGTCGCCGACGCGGCGTCCCAGTAGTCTGCTGGGCGCCGCGCGCTGAGCCCTAAGCCGATCGCGAACCATTTCGTCGTCGAGGTTGCCCTACGGTGCACCGCGCATGGCGCGACGCGCGCTCGACGCATGGCCAATGAGTCTTCGATCTATACTTCATTCGCGGGGCGACGACGAAGATCGCGCGGATCCAAGTCGACCCTGTGTCAGACCTTGCCTCCCTTCCTCCGCACCTATCTGCTCTTGCTTCTGGTCCCGCCGACTGACCTTTCCGCTGCTGCTGCCAACAGTGCCCCCGGCTCTGCGCGCCATTTCGGAGCCCCTGGGGCCTTCGTGACGTTGGGGTGTGTGTTCTGGGTCTACCTGCGGACGCTGGAGTCACCTGGGGCCAGGGTCACCTCTGGCAGCGCCCGATCCCCCCTTGCTCTCTGCTCCCCTGCTTTTAGATGGGTTGCAATTCAAGTCAGGACGGGATCCTGTCTCCTTTGTGGCGTTATTCGTCAACTCACATTTGTGGGCCCGCGAGGCTATGTTTGGGAAGTTTCGGATGTGGATGATCCTGGGCAACGCTGTGGTGGACTTTCTGGCAGGGGCTGTGCTGCTGCGTGGGTTCAGAAAGGGACCCAGAGTCAAGACACAGAGCTGAGCAGTGGGAGCGCAAGGCGTATCTGTCAGGCTTCGCCTACCCCACGCAACGATGGATGCTCACGATCGAGAAGAGGAGCTGGAGCGCGAGGGGCGGACACCTCCCCTCCCTCTCCTGCTGCGCTTCCGGTTCAGGTTTCCACCACCATGTCTGATGAGTCTGATCGCGACTGCATTAGATGCTGTAGCTCAGCCACCCCAGCGAGGCAGTCTTAGTGGCGGGGTATCCCATTTGGTCACCCCGTCCATGTGAACGGTGAGGTGTTCGGGGTCCCGTCTGGAGTTAAGCTGCACTTGGCGGGGGTGGGTGGGTGCATCACACACACATTGCATGTGGTCACGCAGCACCCTTAAGCTCTGGTTCTGCATCGGTTATGGGGATTCTCTTGCAAGATTATCGAGGGCCTCGGGCAAAAATGCTGGAGGACAACGAATTCCAATCGAGAGCTGAATACTGTTCCAGGATAGCAGGAGGCCAGTGGCCGAAGGTCCTGAGCAAGGTTGAACAGGCTCGTCGGGACTCGTAATTCTTTACGCTTCGCGTATCCCCACCAGCCCATCTCACAACAGCAACTCTTGCGAAGCATGCCGACAGTCGTGTTTTTCAGGCGTGTGTCTGCTTGCCCCCGCATATCTCCCCTGTTCCTCCTTCCTCCCGCCTCCTTGTACATCCTCCTTGTGGGGGGAGCGGGAGAAGGACGAGGCGGAGGAGGAGGGAGAGAAAGCGGTGGGAGGCAAGAGGGACTTAGCGGAGACGACGACCACAGCGATGATCCTAACAACGACGACGCACCCGACGACGACGACGATATCGACCGCAACGACGACGACGACCACAACCGCGACGACGACGACGACGACGTCGACGACGACGACGACGAAGGCGGCGGCGACGACGACGACGACGACGACGACGACGACGACGACGACTGGTGGGAGTCGTTGGGGGCCCTCGTGGTGTGAGTCCGTCGGCCCCGTCGTCCTTGTGTGAGTCCTTCGGGCCCCTATTCCTGGTGTGAGTCGTTCGGGCTCCTCGTTGTGTGAGTCGTTCGGGCTCCTCGTCCTGGTGTGAGCCGTTCGGGCTTCTCGTGTTTCGAGTCGTTCGGGCCTCTCGTCCTGGTGTGAGTCTTTCGGGCCCTTCTTCCTGGTGTGAGTCGTTCGTGCTCTTCGTGGTGTGAGTCGTTCGGGCTCTTCGTCCTGGTGTGAGTCGTTCGGGCTTCTCGTGGTGTGAGTTGTTCGGGCCCCTCGTCCTGGTGTGAGTCGTTCGGGCCCCTCCTCCTGGTGTGACTCGTTCGGGCTCCTCGTGGTGTGAGTCGTTCGGGGCCCTCGTCGTGGTGTGAGTCGTTCGGGCTCCTCGTGGTGTGAGTCGTTCGGGCCTCTCGTCCTGGTGTGAGTCGTTCGGGCCCCTCCTCCTGGTGTGAGTCGTTCGGGCTCTTCGTGGTGTGAGTCGTTCGGGCCCCTCGTCCTGGTGTGAGTCGTTCGGGCTCCTCGTGGTGTGAGGCGTTCGGGCACCTCGTCCTGGTGCGAGTCGTTCGGGCCCCTCGTAGTAGGCCTCTTCGCGGCCCCAGGGGCTTGTAGGAGCGTCCTGGGTGCCTTGGGGGAGCCTCTTCGGGCCTCTTGGGAGCCTCTTGGAGGCCGTTTGGGGCGTCTTGGGGGCCTCTTGGCGGCTCCAGGGGCTTCCAGGAGCGTCTTGGGTGCCTCGGGGGAGCCTCTTGGGGCCTCTTGGGGGCCTCTTGGGGGCATCTTGGGGGCCTCTCGGAGGCCTCTTGGGGCCTCTTGGGGCTCTTTGGGAGGGGTCTGGGAGGACTCTTGGGGCCATCTGTCGGGCGATCGATCACAGTTGAGGCGAGCATTTTTCTGCCTCCCCCCGTCGGGGCCAGAATCCTCGTGAGGGGTGTCGAATTTTAGCCCTCCCAGGAGTCGAAAAAGACCCCTCCAACCACCCGCGGGGCGCCCTCTCCAGGCCCAGGGGGAGGGGGTAGGGGGAGGGGTAAACCCCTCCCCGAAAGGGGAAGAAGGGGGTTGAGAACAGAGCGGGCTCTCTAAACCACTCACGCCCAAAGGGCTGGTGGGATTAGGGAGCCTCTTGGAGGCCTCTTGGGGCGTCTTCGGCGCCTCTTGGGGCTTCTTGGGGGCCTCTTGGGGGCATCTTGGGAGCGTCTTGGAGGCCTCTTGGGGGCCTCCTGGGGGCCTCTTGGGGCCATCTTGGGGCCTCTTGGTGCCTCCTGGGCGCTTCTGGGGGCCATCTGGGAGGAAATCGATCAAAGAAGAGGGGAGCTTTAATTAGCGCTGCCCCCTCAGAAGGGCAAAATGGGGCCAACAACCTTCGTAAAATCAATGATTTTGCCTTGAAAGAAGAGGGGAGCTTTAATGAGCGCTGCCCCCTCAGAAGGCCAAAATGGGGCCAAAACCGTAGTAAAATCAATGATTTTGGCTTCAAAGAAGAGGAGAGCATTTTTTCTGCCTCCCCCCGTCGGGGCCAGAATCCTCGTGAGGGGTGTCGTTTTTTAGCCCTCCCAGGAGTCGAAAAAGACCCCTCCAACGACCCGCGAAAGGCCCTCTCCAGGCCCAGGGGGAGGGGGTAGGGGGAGGGGTAAACCCCTCCCCGAAGGGGAAGAAGGGGGTTGAGAACAGAGCGGGCTCTCTAAACCACTCACGCCCAAAGGGCTGGTGGGATTAGGGAGCCTCTTGGAGGCCTCTTGGGGCGTCTTCGGCGCCTCTGGGGCCTCTTGGGGGCTCCTGGGGGCATCTTGGGAGCGTCTTGGAGGCCTCTTGGGGGCCTCCTGGGGGCCTCTTGGGGCCATCTTGGGGGCCTCTTGGTGCCTCCTGGGCGCTTCTGGGGGCCATCTGGGAGGAAATCGATCAAAGAAGAGGGGAGCTTTAATTAGCGCTGCCCCCTCAGAAGGGCAAAATGGGGCCAAAACCTTCGTAAAATCAATGATTTTGCCTTGAAAGAAGAGGGGAGCTTTAATGAGCGCTGCCCCCTCAGAAGGCCAAAATGGGGCCAAAACCGTAGTAAAATCAATGATTTTGGCTTCAAAGAAGAGGAGAGCATTTTTTCTGCCTCCCCCCGTCGGGGCCAGAATCCTCGTGAGGGGTGTCGTTTTTTAGCCCTCCCAGGAGTCGAAAATGACCCCCCTGACGACCCGCGAAAGGACCTCTCCAGGCCCAGGGGGAGGGGGTAGGGGTAAACCCCTCCCCGAAGGGGAAGAAGGGGGTTGAGAACAGAGCGGGCTCTCTAAACCACTCACGCCCAAAGGGCTGGTGGGATTGAGAGGATTTCGCTTCGCGATTGGGTCGCTCACTCAGTTGCCCCTATTCTTCCGCTTCCTCCATGACGATTTTCTCCATTTCCTCCATTTGCACGTCCTCCCCTGCTCCTCTTCCTCCTCCTCCTCCTTCTCCTCTTCCTCCTCCTCCTCCTCCTCCTCCTCCTTGTCCTCTTCCTCCTCTTCCTCTTCCCGCCCTCTCTGAAGGCTGTTCGCGCCAGGCGTCCCCGCCGCGAGCACCCTGACGCAGAGGAAGGCGCCGGGTACCGCTGCCGCTGCCGCTGCTGCTGCTGCTGCTGCTCCTCCTCCCCCTCCTCCTCCGCCTCCTCCTCCTCCGCCTCCTCCTCCTCCTCCTCCTCCTCCTCCTGTGCGGTCGTTCATTGGAGTTTCAGAGGGTCCGACAATTCCTTGTCCTTCGGCGTCAGTTTCAGGTGACGGCAGTTCTGGTTAGCGGGATGGGGCGAGGGTTGCTGCCCCCATATGGTACACACCACTAAACCAGGCCGAACCACACCCGGTCCTGCCAACGCCCGACCAGGGTGCGCTAGCCACCGTTTGTGTTGTCTTTCATGGGAGCCTCAGAGGGTCCCAGGATTGCTTGCGGGTCAGGGGAGTTCGTCTTGGTCTCGTCGGAATTTGTCGACGTTTGGTCGCAACGTGGACGAGCTCTTGACGAACGGGTGAAGAGGGGTGGACCATCCAGAGACATCCGGTCGAGATCACGTTTACGACGCGGCCGCGGAGGTCCACAGAGACTCCCATGAAGGCTCACCCAACATGCGGAGGTCAGCGCGGAGTTCTTTTGGATCTGCGAGGGTCCTTCTGGTGGCGCCTCCAACGGTGCTCCTGGTTCGGTACGATCGAAATCGGTACGGTAAGGCTTCGGGTTGCGCACAGACAGCCACTCCAGGAGGTCCCCGCCGGCCTCAACAGGCCCCCCGAGCAGTCCTGGGCGCTCCCAACACACCGGCGCCCCGTGATGTTGAGGTCGCCTTGGACCACTCGGGGGGCCTGACGAGGCCAGCTGAAACTGCCTGGGGTGGCTGTCTGTGCGCAACCTGAAACCTTATCGGCGCTGCCCCTGATTCGGTAAGACCAGAATGTATACGGGAATAATGGAAGCGAATGGCAGCAGCTCCTGCTCTTCTCGAGCAGGACTCCTGCCCGCGGTGTCGCTGTGCCTGGGCGGACGATGTCGGGTTGGGACGAGAAGGTCGCCTGCGCAACAGCGGCCGCTGACGGTTTTGAGCAACGTTTGCTATTGGATATCGTGCCCATCTTGCCCATTTCGGGCTTGGCAGTGGGCGCGCTCCGCGCGCCAGGGAGTGGGGTTCAGCGCCGATTCAAAAACCTGCGCGGATCTTCGGGAGCTTATGCCTACCTGTTTGTTTAATTCTTCTGCTCGTGCTCCCCGTGCCCCTTCCTTTGTCACTCCCTTTCCTCGTTTCCCTCCTTTCCCTCCTTTCCCTTCTCCCTTCTCCCTTCTCCCTCCTCCCTACTCTCTCCTCCCTCCGCCCTCCTCCCTCTCTCCTCCCCTACTACCCCGTCCTCGTTTTGCCCCTCTCCCTCCGCTCTCTCCCTCCGCCCTCTTCCTCCGCCCCCTTCCTCCCGCACTCTACCCTCTGGACGTGCGCCCAGGGCCGCCTCGGCTGCGCCACGGCCCCCAGGTTCTTCCTCCCCGTTCCTTCCCCGGCCGCCGCCGGCGCCTCCGCGCCCGCGGGGAGGACCCGTCTCGCCCCGAGCCGTTCCTCCCCGCTCCTCGGCCGGGGGCTCGGGCTCGAGCCTCGGGCTCGCGCTCGGGCCCAGGCCAGGGGCTCGGGCCCAGGCCAGGGGCTCGGGCTCGCGCCCGCGCTCGGGCGGGTGCTCGGGCTCCCCAGGCTCTCCTCGGGCGCTGGGCCTCGGCCTCGGCCTCGAGCCTCGGGCTCGGGCTCGCGTGCAGGGCTCGGGCTCGGGCTCGGGCTCGGGTCGCTCGGGCTCGGCTCGCGCCTCGGGCGCGCACGCCCCTCGCCGCTCCCTGCGTGGTGCGGCGGGCGCTGGCGCACCGGGGGTTGGGGCCGGGGCGCGGGTGGGGCGCCGCTGGTGGGTGGCCTCAGTTGCCGCGCCCTGGGGCACAGTCGATGTGGAGTCACGAGGGGCGCGGGCAGGAGGAGGAGGAGGAGGAGGAGGAGGAGGAGGAGGAGGGGGAGGAGGAGGAGGAGGAGGAGGAGGTGGAGGAAGGAGGAGGAATGAGGGAGGAGGAGGAGGAGGCGGGGAGGATGGGAGGAGGAGGAGGAGGAGGAGGAGCGCCGGGGCTGCTGACCGTGGCGAGCCAAAGGGCAAGTACAGGCGCCCTGCGCCTGGATCCCAGGAAAGCTGGCCAGAGGGCAGAACCCCTACTCCGAGGGCGCCAACCAGATACCTACACCGATCCCGGCCAGGCCGATCCTGGGCCCAGGATCGGTGTATGTGAATTCCTGGCCAAGCCAGGAAGGCGTATGCACCGATCCTGGGCCCAGGATGAGCCTGGCCAGGACCGGTGCAGGTGTGGACTTGGCGTTCTCGTACCTGGCGGGCCTGCGTGGTTCTTGCTTCGGCGGCTTGGCTGTGCCTCTGCAGGGGGCCCATGCTCTCCCGGGAGTCGCGGTCCGTCTGCTGCTGCTGCGCCTGCCGCCTGCCGCCTGGCGCGGCGCCGGGGGCAGGCCGCGCGGGCCTCGGCGGCCCCAGTTGGGTGGGTGAGTGGGTCAGTTCGCTCACCGCGCCAGGGAGGCGTGCAAGGGGCGGCCCCGAGGCAGGCCATCTTCGGGGCCCGAGGGAGGAGGGGTCGTCGTCGTCGTCGTCGTCGTCGTCGTCGTCGTCGTCGTCGTCGTCGCCCCTGGCCTGGGCCGAGCCCGTCGGCTGCGCTGCCCTAACTTGTCTGCCGCGCGCAGGGCTTTCCCCCCGCCCGGCGGCGCGCCGAGCGGATGGAGGCCTCGCGGCTTGTGGGTGCGACCCCGGCCCGAGAGGTTGGGCCGTCTTGGAGGCCTCTTGGGAGCCTCTTGGGCCGTCTTGGGCCATCTTGAGGCCATCTTAGGCCGTCTTGGGTGCATCTCGGGCCGTCTTGGAGGCATCTGGGGGCCATCTTAGCCGTCTTGGAGGCCCTTTGGGCCGTCTTGGAGGCCACGTTGGGCCAGCTTCGCGATTTTTTGAGGATCTCCCCAGCGAAACGGCCGTTTTTGGGGCTTTGCAGCCACCTCTGGGCGGGCGTCCTGGGACCCCGGCGGGACGGGCCGAAGCCCCAGGGAGAGTTCTTCTGGAAAAAGAACCAAAACCGAAACCGTAATAGTCTAGCACGCCAGGCACCCCTTTGATGAATCGACAGGGGGCGACGGATCGAAGACGCCTACGGCGAATCACCGCCGCCCCCTGCCTTTTTGGAAGCGCCTATGTGGCCGAAGGTTGTGGCCAGAGGCCTGCCAAGCTATCGGACCATGTGTTCCCCGAATCGGTTTGGAAAGCCTTCGGGGAACATGTGGGCATCTTAAAGGTCACGTGGGCATCTTGAAGTTCATCTTGGCCGTCTGGAGGCCATTCTGACCCTTTCGGGCCTTCTTGGAGGACGTCTTGGAGGGCTCTTGGGCCGTCTTGGAGGCTATCTTGAGCGTCTTGGAGACCTTTTTATTTTCTTTTTTTTTTTTCTTTTTTTTCTTTTTTTTTTTTCTTTTTTTTTCTTTTCCCCCTTTTTTTTTTTTTTTTTCGTTTTTTTCCTTTTTTTTTTTTTTCTTTTTCTTATTTTTTTCTTGTTTCTTCTTTCTTTTTCTTTTTTCTCTGGGCCGTCTTGGGGGCCTCTCGGGGCCGTGTCTTGGGCCTCTTGGGCGATCTCTGTGGGCACTTGGGCCGTCTCGGGCCGTCGGAAGGCAGAAACAACAACACAAATGCCAGAATCCTTCAAAAACCCATGGCAAATCAATGATTTTGGCCTTTTCGGGCCTTCCTGGAGACCCTCTTGGAGGCCTCTTGGGCCGTCTTGGGCCATCTTAGGGCCATGTTCGGCCGTCTTGGTGGCTTCCTGGCACGTCTGACGCCGTCGGGAGCCGTCTTGGGGGGCCTCTGTGGGCCGACTTGGGGCCCTCTTGGGGCGCTTCGGGGCCGTCTTGGAGGCCATCTTGGGCGTCTTGGAGGCCATCTTGGGCGTGTTGGAGGCCTCTTGGGCCGTCTTGGTGCCCTCTTGGGGCCGTCTTGGAGGCCACGTGGGCCGTCATGGGGCCCTCTTGGGGGCCTCTTGGGCGATCTGGGGGCCTCTTGGGCCGTCTTGAGCCGTCGGATTGCCGAGACGAAGCACATCCCCAAATTCTTCAAAAACCTCAGGAAATCAATGATTTTGGCATCTTCGGGCCCTCCTGGAGGACCTCTTGGAGGCCTCTTGGGCCGTCTTGGAGGCCTCTGGGGGGCTTCTTGGGCCGTCTTGGGCCGTCTTGGACTCTCTTGGACCGTCTTGGAGGCTGTCTTGGACCATCTTGGGCGGACTTGGAGGCCATCTTGGACCAGCTTGGAGGCCATCTTGGGCCATCTTGACCATCTTGGACGCCATCTTGAGCCATCTTGGAGGATTTTTTGTGCACGTTGGGGTCCTGGGCAATCCTCCCGGGACCCCGGCGGGACGGGCCGAAGCGCCAGGGGGAGTTCTTTTGGAACAAGAACCAGAACCAAAACCGAGAGGTCTAGCACGCCAGGCACCCCTGCGATGAATCGACAGGGTGCGGCGGATCCCAGTGGCCTTCGGCCCATCCCGCTACCGTGCCTGGGTTGTGGGTCTGAGGCCTCTTGTATGTGTTGGGGTGTCGTGGGGAGCCTCTCGGGGGCCTGTTGGAAGCGGTTTGGGCGCCTCTTAGGGGGCCTCTTGGAGCCTCGTGGAGTATTTTTGGGCCTCTTGGAGGCCTCTTGGGCGCGTCTTGGGCGCCTCTTGGGGGCTTTTGGAGCCTCTTGGCGGCCCCTTGGGGTCTCCTGGAGGGCTTCCCGTGGCATAGATATCGAATGTTCGGTTCGTGGTCCCCTGCTTGGGCCCCTCTTGGAGCCGTCTTGGGGCCCTCTTGGGCCGTCTTGGGGCCCTCTTGGAGGCGTCTTGGGCTGCCTTGAAGCGGTCTTGGGAGCTTCTTGAGCTGTCCTGGAGAGTCGGAGAGCTGAAGATGCGACAAGGTCAAAATCCTTCCAAACTCCTTCGTAACATCTACGATGTTGGCCTCTCGGGGCTCTCTCGGGAAGCCTCTTGGAGCGCTCCTGGGGCCTCTTTGGGCCCTCTTGGGCCGTCTTGGAACCATCTTCGAGCGCTGTGGAGCAGTCGTGGCCTCGGCAATGTGAGCATGGTGTAATTTGCAAAGGTTTATGGCTTCGGGGAAGCGACTCGTTGCCTCGGGGGCGCGGGCATCGCGTAATCTACGAGGGATTATGGCATCGGGGGCGCGAACCTCATATGATATATTTCTACGTGTCCCACGCCCCCCCAGGGAATTCCCGTTTCTCCTTGCCCGCCTCCGTTTGGGAACTTGAGATTTGGGGTCTACGGTATCTGCTGCATGCATCCGCAGGGAAAAACACAGCCCAACGAGGTGATTCGTTGACCCCCTTTTGCTACCCCCTGTTCGTCCCACTCGATCCTTCCCCCCCTTCTCCCCTTGTTTCCGTGGCTCTTCTCACCCTCCTGCTTCCCTCTCTCCCTCCTTCCTCCCCTCCCGCTTGAGCTGCCTGCCCCCTCTCGTCTCTCTGCTCTCTTCTCCCTCTTCCTTCCTCCCTCCCCCCTTCCTGCGGCCTCCTCCTCCTTCCTCCTTCCTTCTTCCTCCTGCCTCCTTCTGCCTTCCTCCTTCCTCCTTCCTCCTTCGTCCTTCCTCCTTCCTCCTTCCTCCTTCCTCCTCCCTCCTCCTTCTTCCTCCTCCTCCTCCTCCTCCTCCTCTGCCTCCCGCTCCCCCCTGCCGGCTCCTCCGCCTCTGCTCCCTCCTCACCCGCCCAGCCTCCGAAAGAGGCCTACAGCGAGAGGGTGGTGCCGTCGCAGTCGTGCTGGGTCTGCATGAGCGAGTTCGCGTGGGGATCCGACGCCGCGGCCGTGGCCAAGATGCGATGCCGAAGCCCGGAAGCCGCCGAGGGGGACAGGAGGGGGAGCGCCGAGGGGGGGGGACAGGACGGTGTGGGGAGAGCGAGCGAGCGAGGGGGGTAGTGCGGAGGAGGAGGCGAGCGAGCGAGCGAGGGGAGCACGAGCGACCGATGGGGGCAGAGTCGGCGGCGAGCCCAAGGGTGCGGGGAGGTGCGGAGGAGAGGGCCTCCTCGGAAGGCGGCGGGGCCTCTCGGAAGCCCCGAGGCCTCCAGAGAAGCTTTCGGCGTCTTCGGGGAAGGCGCGGAAGACCTCCCATGAGGCCAGGGGGCTCCCGGGTCCTCTGAGAAGGCCCGCCCCTTCTCACTTCCCCCCCCTCGGGCTCGCCGCCGCGAGAGGCAGGGCAGGGGGAGCGGTACGGTGGACGGGAATGAAGAGGAGGAGGATCTCCACGATCGAGATGTGCGCGGCAGGTTCGCGCCGTGTCGATCGGCCGCGACCCCGCCGCCGGCGTTGAGCGTTGCACGCCGCCGGCGACCCAGAATCGGTCGATGCGGAACGACCTGACGTTTCGGAAACCGGCGATCGTCCAAGGCTCAACGCGCATCTTGCGGTGTCAGCAGCCAATGCCGGAATCGGCACGACATGAGCTTGGAGAGGCGGGGGACGCAGACGCACAGCATTTCCCGATCTTCTGCAGCAGTCCTCGTTGTCGGTGTCGCCGCGGACGTCGTCCATGTGAGACAGAAGGCCGCCTGCCCAACATCGGCCGCCGTCGGTTTTGGACAGCCTGTGTTGGGCATCGTCCCCATTCCTTCCGTACCCACTTCGGGCGTCCAAAGCGGAAGGGCCGAGGAAACGTAGGCATTGATTGAGGCGCGTTGGTCAGCAACGGCTCCCGCTTCCATGCAAGATCGGCGTGCTCCGTCGCCAAATCGGGCGGCACCGGCTCCGTGGTTCGGGGGCTGCCTTCCCCGATCCGGGATTGGCGCCCACCCGCTGGGACCCCAGATCCGAAATCCATGAGGGACGGAGGGAGGAGTAGCCGGAGGAGGTTGGATGAGCAGGGGCAGCATGATCGCGACGGTGGAGGTGTTGGTGGTGACTACGCTGCTGCTGATGGTACTGAACGTTCCGCTGCTAACACTTGTGAGCGCGTGGATGATGCTCTATTGTGGTCAGAGTGGCCGGGAGACAGGATGATGATCCAAAGCAGAAGGGTCGGGATGATGACGATGATGATGACGATGATGATGATGATGATGGTGGTGGTGGTGGTGGTGGTGGCGATGATGGCAACGCGGGGGACAATGATGAGCCAATGGAGCATGTCGATGACGCCGCCGACGATGATTATGACCACTATGATGATGCCGCTGCTGATGGTACCGCTGATGATACTGCTGTTGTTGCTGATGCTACTGCTGCTGCTGTTAGTGATTAGATGCTGACGCTGATGCTGCTTCTGCTGCTGCTGATGATGATGCGGATGATGATGATGCTGCTGATGATAATGAGGATGATGATGCTGATGATGATGCTGATGCTGATAATGAGGATGCTGATGATAATGCAGACGAGGATGAGGATACTGATGATGATGACGACGACGACCACGACGATGATGATGACGATGATGATGCTGATGCTGATGATGCTGATGATGGTGATGTTGATGATGCTGATGCTGATGATGATGCTGATGATGATGCTGACGATGATAATAGGATGCTGATGATAATGCAGGCGAGGATGATGATACTGATGATGATGACGACGACGACCACGGCGATGATAACGACGATGCTGTTGATGATGATGCTGATGAGGATGATGATGATGCTGATGATGATCATGATGATGATGCTGATGCTGCTGTTGATGATGATGATGATGATGATGATGATGATGATGATGATGATGATGATGATGAGGGGGATTGGGTCGGGGGAGGTGGACGGGAGGGCAGGACGGAGGACGGGGTGAGGAAGGAGCGACGAGGGGGAGTGAGGACGAGCGGGAGGACCGTCAGAGGGATATCAATCATGGCGGTGGCCGATGAGGATGATGATGATGACGATGACGATGACGATGACGATGATGATGATGATGATGATGATGATGATGATGATGATGATGATGATGATGATGATGATGATGATGATGATGATGATGCGATGATGATATTGATGATGCCGATGATGATGATGATGATGATGATGATGATGATGATGATGATGAGGATGATGAGGATGACGATGATGATGATCATGATGATGATGCTGATGATGAAGCTGGTGACTATTATGATGATGATCAGGATGCTACTGATGATGCTGATGATGGTGAGAACGATGATGAGGATAATGATGCTGATGCTGATGAGGATGTTGATGCTGATGCTGGTGACGACGATGAGGATTAGGATGAGGATGAGATGATGATGACGATGATGATGATGATGACGATGATGATGCTGCTGATGATGATGATGATGATGCTGCTTTTGCTGATGATGACGATGGAGATGACGAAGCTGCTGCTGCTGGTTATGATTCTGATTAGGATGATGATGATGATGCTGACGATGACGATGACGATGATGATGATGATGCTGATGAGGATGAGGATGACGGTGATGGTGATGATGATGATGATGCTGATGATGATGATGATGATGATGATGCTGATGCTGATGCTGATGCTGATGCTGATGTTGCTGCTGCTGCTGCTGATGATGATGATGATGATGATAATTATGCTGATGCTGATGCTGATGCTGATGCTGATGCTGCTGATGATGATGATGACGATGATGCTGATTCTGATTCTGATGCTGATGCTGATGCTGATGATGATGATTCTGATGATGATGATGATGATGATGATGATGATGCTGATGATGATGATGATGATGATGATGCTGTTGCTGCTGCAGCCGAGGAGGAGGAGGAGGATAAGGAGGAGGAGGAAGAGACGGAGGAGGAGGAGGAGGAGGAGGAGGAGGAGGAGGAGGAGGAGGGGGAGGTGGAGGAGAAGGAGGAAAAAGAGGAACAGGAGCAGGAAGAGGAGGACCAGTGGAAATCCAAGAGTCATCAACGATGTTGGAGTTAACTCTCCCCTTCCAAGCTCCCTCTTCATAGGCCCCTACAACGGTTCATTTCCATTGAGGGAATTGCCTCGTTGGAAGACAACAGTTTGAAAACCCTGAAGCCTGCCAAAACATTGTTCTCGGGATGCCAACGCTACGTATCAACTTGACTGCTGGGTCTTGACGATCCAGAATCGTGCCAGAACGCCATTTGTTGGACTTCAACACAGCGAATCAACATA